TAGTTGTATAGGTTGCAGATCGGATGGTATACCAGTTGCGAGGACTGATTGTTTCCATTAATTTTGGTTTTCTTCTTTCTTCTTTGCTCTTGACGAGGAGAGACCCATCCTTGCATCTAGATGGCAGCTTGCTAGCTTTTAAGATCCCAGTCGCTACTCGCCAAAGAGGGAGGTGGAACAATGTTTTGTATATTATGTTATGCCAATTGAGCTTGATGTCCCCTGTGACTGTGATCCCAAGCCCACAGGATCAACTACTCAGTCGCTCTGGGTAGCTGGCTGTGACCAAGCAGTGACCACAACCTTGCCCCTTGTCAGTAGAGCTTTAGTAGTGATCTCAACATGTATTGGTTGAGTGATGTCATTGGGGCTGTTGTGTAGTCTTTGAAACTGTCCCATATAGTTGCTAAAGTGACCACCAGAAAAGCTTACCCACTGAATGCTTTTGGAGGATTAAAGAGGGAGGAAACCCCTCGAATCAATGGTATGTTAATCTGAGACAACCCACTTCAAACCTAAATAACCAGAAAGCTCAAGGATGGATCCACTATTGTAACGGTTAACACTGATTTGGGATAAATTTAACATGAGGTAATTTAGGTTGCATTCCACAGTGGCTACTCTGATGAAACACAAGAGACCCAAACATTGACTGATAATGAAATACAGTTTTCAAAAAATGAAAAAGAAAGAAAACTGTCACTCCACAAGAGATCCACAAATACTCAGTTATCACTTTGGAGCAAAGAGAAGGGGTCACATAAGAATCTGGGGGGAAGGACTGATTATCTTTCACTTACAAACTCATTCACATATGTGTACACATACTTTCACATATTTTTAATATATGAACGATGTAGCATTTTTTAGTCCAAATATTGCCCACAGAGAATTCAAGACAGCCTGGTAAGATAACACATTCTCTGTCACTGGATGTTTGCAAGAAAGTCTCGATAGTGAGAGGGCCAATTGTTGATAAGTAAGAGTAAAAGAAAAAGTGAATGAAGTCCACACAGTAGGCAGTAGGCAGTTAGCAAATATAAAATTGAGATTCTGCTTTGGGCAGGAGAGGAGACAATCTTACCCATGAATTCTTTCGTGAGCACTGCAATATGGGGAGCCTATTCAAAGAGGAAGATTGACTTGTTTTTTCTTTCCTTACACAGACATCTTGAGAAAATACCAGCTTTGTCATTCTTCTTGTGAAACGTGTAATGGGTCTGCCACTCTGTGTACTTCATGTCCAAAAGGTTAGTGTGTAACATGATGGGAAGGTAGTGGTCAACTCAATTAACTGGAACATAGGTATACTGGCTTCTTCTTTTCTATGAACTGCTGTATGGAAAATGAATTTGCTCTGTAAACTTTCACCCATATCATGATAAAAATTAAAAAAAAAAAAAAACACTTTCAGAGTCACCAGCACCAACAATCAATTGATCTTCTTAACCTTTCCTTGTCTCTGATGCCTTTCCCTTATCGTGTGCCCCCTTCCCTCTTTCCCCTCCTTACAATCATGAAAACCAGTGGCCTGGTGGCCAACTCTGCCTCATGGTGACCCCACGTGTCATAGAACTGTGCTCCACAGGGTTCTCAATGGCAGGTTTTTCAGGAGACCACCAGGTGTTTCCCCTGAACTCTAACCTCCAAACTGGTGGTTGTGTCCTGGGCAGCATGGATGCTGCAGTGCTTGGCCACTAAAGGTTGGCAGTTCAAACTCACCTAGAAGTGACTCAGAAGAAAGACCTGGTCACCTACCTCCAAAAACTCAGAGCCAGGAAAGCCTATGGGACGTAGCTCTACTCTTGACACATGTGAGGTCACTGTGAATCAGCATTGACTCCATGGTGCCATACTACTTTCCCCCAGCCATTGCATCATATTACAGTCCCACTAACAGTGGGGGAAGGTCCACATTTCCCCATGTCCTTGACATATTGGCTTCTTTATGTAAGGAGGTTTGTAGGACCTTGATCAAGTCTCATCACATGTTCCTATCATAATGGCTACCCTAGAGAAATACAGGAAGTCAAACATTGACTATAAATGAAAACTGATTTTCAAAGGATAAAAAACAAGGGGGAAAATGTTTACTAAAAGGCATAATGAAGCTATCAGGTGACTTGGCCACAGAATTTGCTGGGCTCTATGGGTGTCTACAGTCACTCTGATAGCACAACGGTTAAGGCATTGGGCTGTTAACCAAAAGGTTGATGGGTCAAACTCACCAGCCGCTCTAAGGAAGAAAGATGAGATAGTCTGCTTCTGTAAAGATTTACACCCTTGGAAACCCAACGGGGGTTGCTATGAGTCGGAATCGACTCGTTGACAGTGAGTTTGGTTTGGTTAAACCCTGCAGGGCAGTTCTGCTCTGCCCACTAAGGCTGCTATGAGTCAGAATCAACTCCATGGCAGTGGGTTTGGGTTTGGTTTATGGGTGCCTGATATTTTTAGAGTTCCTTTACATTAACCAAAACAAGATAGAAAACAGGTGGAAAATGTAAATAGCCTGCATGTTATTTCTTTCTTCATCACTGATACTGAATTTAGGGAGAAAAAAAACAGCAAGGGCAGCAATGTAACAACTCAACTAATTATTAAATCCTTCATCATTTGTAACAACAGAACACTAGAAATAAAATAACTTCCCAGAATTAGGGGAATATTTTGTTAACATGATGCATTAACATAAGGAATGTTATGATCCCATTAAAATGATCATTATGAAGCCCATGTTGGAATGTGCAGTGTTAACAGTAAAATGTGATGCAAAAACAAGAACAAAACACCTTGATGCCAACTCATGGTGGCCCCACAGGTTTCAGAGTAGAACTGTGCTCCATCAGGTTTTCAATAGCTATAATCTCAGGAAAGGAGATTGCCAGGCCTTTCTTCCATGGCACCACTGAACAGATTTGAATCGCCAACTTGTCAGAGAGCAAACCATTTGCACCACCCAGAGATCTTCATAGGTGTGCCATGATCATAAGCATATAAAGTATCAAAGGTTACGCTCAAAAACTGAAGGAACTGTCTTAGACTTTGAGGGATGGAATGATTTTTATTTTGTCTTCTTTCATAATGGTGTTATCTGTTGTTACTGATGTTTCAGTTAAAAATAACTACAGGCATACCTCATTTGATTGCACTTCACTTTATTGTACTTTGCAGATACTGACTTTTTCACAAATTAGAGGGTTGTGGCAACACTTTGTCAAGTAGATCTATCAGTACCGTTTTTCCAGCATGTACTCACTTCATGTTTCTGTGTCACATTTTGGTAATTTTCACAATATTTCAAGCTTTTCACAATGCTGATGCACACTTAATAGACTACGATATAGTGTAAACATAGCTTTCATATGCACCGGAAAACCAAAAAAGAAAAAAAAAAATTGTTGGCTTGCTTTATTACAATATTTGCTTTATTATCTGTAACCAAACCCACAGTGTCTCTGAGGTATGCCTGTCGATGGACAGTCTGTTAAGGAGGAGCTGAGTGGAACAATTACAATACACTGGTGTCCAAATAAGATAGGTGTTGGAAAAGCACAGGCATAGGCTGTTCCAGTAAAAGCAATTAACTCAGCAAAGCCAAGCCCTATAGTAACCCATGCTTAGCATTAGTAGCAAAGGAAAAGGATGAAAGTGTCCTGTTGTCAGCTCCCTTTCTGGAAACTTAACTCATCCTGGATGACTCAGCATCACTAGTAAATACTTTGGTAAGCCTGAAACAACTACGCTAGATACTCAGGGTCTCTGAAAAGTTAAAATCACCCTGGTGAGTATCAGTTCTCTGCGTGAATGTGTGCCCATCAGGACAGACACGTGATAGTCGTTATCTGTCCTGTTCCCTGTGTTTCCAGGTACGTACCTGTTGGCTCAGGCCTGTGTCTCCTCCTGCCCCCAAGGCACATGGCCCTCAGTGAGGAGTGGCAGCTGTGAGAACTGTACAGAGGACTGTGCCTCTTGCTCGGGAGCCAATCTTTGCAAAAAGTGTCGCACTCGGCCTGACCACCCTCTCTTCCTCCATGATGGCAGATGCTATTCCAAGTGCCCTGAGTAAGTTTCCCTCTCATTTTTATTTCCTATTAATGTTCATTCTACTTTGCGGGCAATTCCTTCCTATTCATCAAAGAACTGTTCTCCTCCCTGGGTTCACATAATGCCCTTTCTGGACCACTTGACCACACTGTTGACCACAGCAGCCAAAACTTGCATAATGTAAGATGTAGACCTCTGCCTTGAGATTACTATACGTATAGACTTTTGCTTATGAAAATATATTCTTTTTCCATCTTGTACTACTAACAAAGTGTTATCAGCTTTTTTTTTTTTTTCCCCTCCTCAAAAAAACTAAGGCTGTGATAGACTGCAGAATGCATGGTTCTTGTCCAAATGTTCAAAATCAGTGAGGTATTCATTATAGATAATAAGTAAATAATACCAAGAAAAAACACAGTCATTACTGTGGAGTCAATTTTGATTCATGGTGACCCTATGTATTAGAGAGTAGAACTGTTCCAGAGGGTTTTCTTGGATGTGATCTTTCCAGAAGCCAATGGCTAAGCCTTTCTTCCATGAGTCCACTGGATGAGTTCAAACTGCCAACCTTTCTTTTGTTTAGGAGTCACACAGAAACTATTTGTGCTACAACTTAAATAAATAATAATACCTGGTTAGTTATTTATCAATGCTGGATGTTTTCCTCAATCCCATGTTTGTAATTCCTATGCTTTTCCTAAGGAGCTCTGGTGGTACTGTGGTTAAGGCATTGCTGTGCTCACCAAAAAGTTAGCAGTTTGAATCCACCAGCCATTCTGTGAGACAAAGATGAGGCAGTCTGCTTCTGCAAAGATTTACAGCCTTGGAAATCCCATGGGGTTAGCCATGAGTCAGAAGCAACTAAATCGTAGTGGGCTTTGCTCTTCCTATCAATAGTGTGACCTCCAGGATTTACCTGAAAATAAGTAGGTGGGTCTTAAAAGTTTGCAAGCTGCCTTCCAAAGCAATGTAATTAGTCCCTACTTATCTAGAGCAACAGGGGACAAAGGAGAATCAGAAATAAGAGGAGGATGTGGAACGTGTAGCTAATTGCCTCCATAAACAACTGCTTCCTCTGCCATAAGGCCAGAATAACTGGATGGTGCCCAGCTACCATTACCGAACATTTTGATCTAAGATTCCATAGAAGGATCCTGATCAAACAGGGGAAAATGCAAAATAGAATTCCAAATTCTTATGGATTATAGACTTTCAGGAGCCATGGATTGTGGATGAACCTTTAAAACTATTGCCCTGAGATAATCTTTAAACTTTAAATGAAAAAATATCCTGTGAACTCTTCTTAATATCAAACAATAATTTAGCTTAACTAGTAAAAAAGTTCTACCTGAACATTGTACTCTTTTAGGAACTATCTATAGGAGATCAAATTGACAACAACATGAAAGATTAGATAAGATCCTTAGTGGGTAGTGAGTTTATGTTAATGAAGAAAGAACAACTCAGGAAAGGAGGGTGAGAATGGTTGCACAACTCAAATAATGTAATCAATGTCACTACATGTATATGTAGAAACTGTTGACTTGGACATAACCATAATAAATATCTATGCATCCAATGAAAGAGCACCAAAATACATAAATCAGACTTTAACAAAATTGAAAAGACAAATAGATGACTCCACAGTCATAATAGGAGACTTTAACATACTGCTTTCAGCTAAAGATAGAACTGGAAAGAAACTCAACAAAGATACAGAAGAACTAAACAATACTCTACCAACTTGACCTATAGACATCTACAGAGCACTTCACCCAACAACAGCACAATATACATTGTTTTCCAATGCACATAGAACATTCTCCAGGATAGACCATGTTAGGTCACAAAAGCAAGCCTTAATAAATTTAAAAACATTGAAATACTGCAAAGCATCTTCTCAAATCACAGTGCTATCAAATTAGAAATCAACAATAGGAAGATCAATGGAAAAAGAGAAAACACATGGAAACTGAATATCATCTTCCTTGAAAACAACTAGGTAATAGAAGAAATAAAAAATTAAATAAAAAAATTCCTTGAATCAAATGATAATGTAAACACAACATACCAAAATGTTTGGGACACAGCAAAAGCAGTGATCAGAGGCCAATTTATAGCAATAAATGTACACATCAAAAAAGAAGAGCCGAAATAAACACCATAACCCAACATCTCAACAATTAGAAAAAGAGCAGCAAAAGAAAAAAAGCCTTCAGTCACCAGAAGAAAAAAAATAATAAAGATTCCAGCAGAAATAAATGAAACAGAAAATAGAAAGACTACAGAAAAAAATCAACAAGACTAGAAGTTGGTTTTTTGAAAAGATTAATAAAATTGACCAAAAAAAGAAAAAAATGAAACTTGATTTGGTATTTGTTTTGCTGTATATATTCTTAAAAATAGTAACAAAATAAAATTGAAAAATAAATAAATAAGAATTTAGCAACAAACAAAAAAACAAAAACAAACTCACTGCTGTCGAGTCGAATTTGACTCATAGTGACCCCTCCTTGGGTTTCCAAGGCGGTATCTCTGTAGAAGTACATCACCCAATCTTCCTTCTGAGGAGTGGCTGGTGGGTTTGAACTGCCAGCCTTCTGTTTAGCAGTCAGATGCCTTAGGCACTACCCTACCAGAACTCCCAAACAATCGAAATACCAAGTAAAATGACTGAGACATATGGGATTTCTTATCTCACTTAATCTGAAGTTTGGAAATCCAGTATTGGCTACTTCAGTGGCCATAATGTCATCAAAACCCCACAGTCTGTCCATTTTATGACTGAACCATCCTTAGCTTGTCCTCTCCAGCCAGCTCCTCTCCTGATACCAAGCTCTCTGTTCAAGCTCTAAACATGCAGCCACAAAAAGGCTCTCCTTGTTTACATCTTTTTAAAAGAAAAGAAAAATTTCTAAGATTTCTCTACTCATCTTATTGGCCATACCCTTTTAGCAGAGTTACCCCTAATTTCCCTCATCTCCCTTTCTTCATCTCTAAGCAACCACTAATCTACTTCTCTCTCTGAGGATTTGCTTCTACAGGACACTTCATATAAATGGAATCATACAACATGTGGTCTTTTGAGAGTAGCTCTTTCACTTAGCAAAATGTTTTCAAGGTTCATCCTAAGCTCAGTATTTGAGAAGAGATTAATAAAGAAAAGCTCTTCAAGTATTTTGTCAAACAAAGATTAGATGAAGGGGAAGTAAAGGTCAGAGTAAGAGATCACAATGGGAAAAAGTAGTATCAGGAGAGACACAGAGTCAGCAGTCAGCCAAGTTCTTATAGTAAAACAAAGGTGAAGGCCAGAAATCTACTTACCATAGTCAATCATTGCTGCCTCGTTAACCTTTCCCATGGTAGGTTGAACCAGTTGCCATTATTAACTAGTTGCCTTACTTATTTGATCGTTACCATCTTTTCCCAATTTCCTCTTGGACTTGATGGACAATGCATTAAAACAAGGAAGAAAGAGATGCATTTTGCCCACACTAATTAGTTTACCTGGAGCTCCAGTGGCTTAGTGGTTAAAGCTTTTGCCTGCTAACCATAAAGTTGGTGGTTCAAATGCATCAGTTGCTCCATGGAAGAAAGATAAGGCAGTCTACTTCTGTAAAGATTTACAGCCTTGGAAACCATGGGGCAGTTCTACTCTGTCCTAAAGTGACTCTATGAATCAGAAACAACTCAATGGCAGTAGGTGAGAATTAGCTGACCGTTCAATACTTCTTTCCTCCAAGACTAGAGTTAAACCACAGTGGAGCACTAGGCAGATACACAGCAGCCAAGATAGTTTGTAGTTTTGAGCAGTAGGGAAGCTCCTGTAGTCCCAGCCTGGTGAAAATGATTAATGTACCCTGCTGCTAATCAAAAGATTAGAGGTTCGAGTCCATTCAGAGGTGATTTGAAAGAAAGGCCTGGGAATCTACTTCTAAAGTTTCAGTCATTGGGAACCCTAGTTTGAGCATGGTCAACACTGAGCACAGTTCTACCGTGACACACATGGGGTCACCATATGTCAGAGTCAACTCGACAGCTAGTTTTTAGAGAAGCTCCTAGCATGACCTGAAAATCCTGAAGGCTATGAAAATAGAAGTATGTGACTTGATGAGTGATCTCATTACTTCAGGGTCCCTCGTCTCTGTGTTTACAAAAAAAGCAAGGGAGACAGATCTGACAAACATATACTAACCAGCTTGCCTTGAGAGGCATTGTTGATGTTTCTGAAAAATCACCCTTTTGGGTATGATCCATCCTAGAGTAGCAATAAGATTTATAACAGAACAGAACCTGCAATGACATGGCATCAAAGTATTCAGAATTATTTATAAGTCAGCAATAGTGGCCACTGCTTTTTCAGCTATGGTATATGGCATACATTTGTGAAAGAAGAAAGAACTGCATAGTAACATTTATCATTATAGTGATTGTTTAAAAGGCAACAAATTATTTAAGATGTTCTCAAATTCACGAAATATGAACATATTTTAGGCTTTGGTGTGAGAAAATCAGTCTTCCTTTAAGCTCTTGCTGTCACTATCTTAGAAGAAATATAGAAGACGTTCCAGAACCTTCTGCGTCTGCATTGCACGTATTTATATGAGCATAAGACTTCAATGTAAAGTACTTTGAATTTAACAAGCCAATACATGTGGCCATTTCTTCTCAAAAGAAATTATATTTGTCTTCGTAAATAAAAATAACAGTGAAATAAAGCATTAACAAAAAGGTTTTGTAAATGCAGGGAGAAGACAGCAGGACAAATCATAGTGTGGGTCTAAGTGGAGAAGGCTGCTTTCAGAAAAACACCTTCTCATGTTGCCTTCTGGTTGCCTCCTGGTAGAGCCTCAATGGATTTTTTTTTTTTTTTTT